GGCGAAACAAGCGAAGCTTCGGAGTGGAATTAAGTGAATTAGTGTGTTTAAATTATTAGTGTTTTAACTTTAATTGTGTAAAGTAAATTAAAGTGTTAATTTAGGTAATTTTATCGGCAATTTTTATTGTCACGAACCTCAAGCTCGTAACAATATTATAAAAAAAGTTGAACAGAGGTGAAAATGCATCTGTAGTCTTCGTTGCTTACAATTGGTTGCAGATTTCCATGAGCTGCAATAGCCACGTACCATGGTGAACTGCAAGTTCTTTTGGTTTCAAGCGTTTCAGTCAAACGTCTCAGTGCCCCCGTGATTATGGGTGCTGTAAAGCACCTGCAACGTCGGGAATTTAAAAAGAAGTTAAAGTTAATTATAGGCGATAACATCCGTAAATATACTTTTATTCAATGTGTTCGCGTAAATTAAAGAAATCATGATGTGAACCAGTACGGATTGGCAAAAGCAAATAAAATTCGCAGATTAGAAGATCTTAAAACCAAGCGCGTAAAATGTGCAACATCTTTAAATTTCTTGAAGATATGCAAAGACTATAATCTCATTCCTACGTGTGTCAAAATAGCAACAAAACAGTCCCCCCTCCCGCCAGTAACCATGGGTGCTGTAAAGCACCTGAAACGTCGGGAATTTAAAAATAGGTAGAACGTATCCAGATGAAATTCATTAAACACTTTTGCTACCGAGTAAATGACCACTACAACTCTAACCTCTACTATGATAAGTGTAGAAAGTTCCACCTCTTATCACTCGATATGCGCAGGCAAATAGCAGATATTACCTTTCTACTTAAGGTAGCTTCAAGCGAGATCGACTGTCCAGATCTACTTGAGAAGTTAAATATCAAAATTCCAAAAAATGTTAGACGAAAGGTCTCAGTATCACTACCCACAGCTCTTAAAAAATTATGATCTCAAACAAAAAATACAGTACTAAACAAGTATTATAAAAATTACTCAAAAATACTTAAAAAAACTGTAAATATTTCAAAAAAGAACTATAATATTAAAAGAATAAAGAATTCTGATAATGTAATAAAAACAATGTGGAATGTTATAAAGGAACAAACTAATAACATTACACAAGATAAAAAGAACATAGAACTGAATGTCCAAAATAGTATCACTGCGGACCCTTTTCAAATAGTTGAGTGTTTCAATAATTTCTTTTTGTCGGTTGGTAATGATAACAATACTTTTGGCACAACAGGTGCAATCGTTCAGCCTGTCCTTCATCCCGTAAAGAATTCATTATTTTTAAAATCCGCTACTAATCAAGTAATTATAAAATGTATACGTAATTTAAAAAACAAACGTAGCTTCGGTCATGATGACTTACCGCCATGTCTAATTAGGAAATGCGCCGAAGAACTAGCCCCAGTTATGACATTCCTGACAAATCAATCGTTTACAGAAAGTAAAGTTCCAGACCAACAAAAAATTTCAATAATTAAACCACTCTATAAAAAGGCTCTAAAACTGACTGTAACAACTATCACCCTATTGCTATTCTTCCAACGTTTTCAAAAATATTTGAATCCGTTATGGCTAATAGACTATACTGTTACTGCGAAAAGTTCAATATATTAAATGACAATCAATATGGCTTTCGCAAAAACAGAACAACAACTACAGCAGTATACAAATATGTCAATGAAATATTAAATTTATTTAATAAAAAGAAATACGCGATCGGTATTTTACTGTACATCACCCAAACCTATGATCGAGTTCGATTTGACATACTTTTACGGAAGTTACACGGAATAGGAGTAAGAGGCACAACATACAACTGGTTCGAATCATACCTGACCAATCGAAAGCAGTGTGTAGAGATAGAACACCATAATCTAGCCAGTGGAAATGTGATTAAAGTCAGGTCTCAATTTGCACCGGTCACAAAATCAATACCACAGGGTAGTGTTCTCGGTTGTTTATTATTTTTAATTTATATTAATGATTTGCCGAAAATAGTCAAAGCCGTTTGCCGACGATCTTTCTGTAGTCATACCTTTCGACAATAATACAAACAACAATCTTAACAACTGTCTGGATAGTGTACTTACAGATATCTCTAAATGGTTAAAAAATCACAATCTCGTCATAAATTACACAAAAACTAAGATAATACAATTTAAGCCCTATCAAAAATGCCCCCTATCTATAAATTATTCTTACAATGATATTAAACTAGAATGTGTTGATTCATATACATTATTAGGTATAAACATAGATTCAGGTATAAATTGGAAAGAACACATAAAGAAAGTATCATCTAAACTTTCCCGTTTCTCGTACGCACTATACGAACTTAAAAAAGTTACAGATTCAAGAACCGCCACGTGTGCAAACTATGCTTATGCCCATGCATGGCTCAAGTACGGCATTTTACTGTGGGGAAACATCACAGACGTAAATAAATTATTTATTTTACAAAAAAAAATGTTTCCGAATAATTACAAACATAGATAGCACTGACAGCTGTAAACCCTACTTTATTTCATTAAAAATATTAACAATTACATCTATATATATACTAGAATTATGCACATTTGTTAAAAAGAATATGCACCTTTTTTCAATATACTACCGGCCTCATTTCTTACGTCCTAGTATAAAATTAGCTCCACCTATCACAAAATTATAAACAGTTAAATCAGGACCCATGGTATGTGTGTAAAAATTTATAATAAAATTCCCAAATGTCTACAAAAAGAAGAATCGTTGTAATTTCAAAGAGAGCTTAAAAATATTTAATTCAAAAAAGTTTCTATTCGTTGTCAGAGTTTTTCGGTGAAAAATAATAATTGTTTATTTTGAATATGTATACCTCTTTAATATCTTTGTAAATATTGCAAATGTTTATTAAACCTAAAAGTAATGTAGTAGTAGTAAGTAAGTAGTTTAAGAAAGTAGTTTAAGTAAATAAAATAAAATTAGTCTTTCTAAATTGATAAGAATAAATTGATATATAACATAATATAATATAATATTGCTACGCCCTATCAGGGCTCATGTTTGGCTCTAATATATTCAACTTAAGAACTATTTACGTAACCACATGAACGCAATAAAATGTTTGAGTTTGAGTTTGAGTTTTTCCTATAAAAAAAAGTATCATTTCGGCGAGACGAGTTCTGACTAAGCCTTTTTTCGATTCCAGCTGATGATCTTTTTTATTTCTTTTTTTTATTTTATTTTTTATATTTTTGGATTTTGTTAATCTGTAATGTTTAGTTATTTAATGCACGATGTTACTTAGCTAAGCTTACGGTTGGTGCGACAGTGTCCTATTAGCTGTCGGTAACTCAACGCATGCAATTATTTATATAGTGTCACTATTTGCGAAAACCCGTAAATGGTTTCCTATTACTTAATTGATTTTCTACCTCTGTTTTTTGTTAACCGAGGGATTTCCGATTAAATAAATAAATAAATATAGATAAAGTAGTTAATTAAACGTCAATTATAAAAATGTATTTTTTAAATAAATTTTGTGTATGTAATTTGTTTGTAGAAGGTTATCTCTAGAAGTACTGATCCTATTCTGAAATTTCTTTCTATTTACTTCATATGGGGGAATTTGGCATAGTCTCTACGTTTGTGTGGGTGGTTGGCTAACGCAGTTTTTTATAACATTGAGTTGTGCCCACCTTCTGTTGCAGTTTCCCAATATCGTCTCTTACGACAATATGAAGTGGTGGATATTCCTACACTACCATCACATGATTAGGTTTTTACACTCACATAGTTACGTATATGATAGAGTTTATAGTTAAAATTGGCGGCAGGAAGTAAGATCACACATTGATCTGACAAGCATGACAATTATGGTAAATTCTTCCTAAAAAGGCCCATTTTCAGCACAAAAGTGCTACGGGCTGATATATAATCTGTATTATATTAATACGTGAAAGGCAAACTTTTAAGCATTTTAAAGGCGCCAAGTATGAGATTTGGCAAAGTTAAAGCTTATACGGAGAAGGAATGCATACCACATACGAGGATAAAGCGCTTTAGTCGTAGCAGGCGTATACAAGTATTTTCATCAAAAATGTCTAGCTTAATATGCGTCGCCAACACGGAGCAATTACTTAATGGTTTTTGTTTATTTTAACGCGTTTTAAATAAGTAACTTACAAAAAAGGTAATAAAAATTCTTGCTTACAACAATAAAATAAAAAGCGAACTTGGTCACCTTTTTTAGTAAGGATGGTAAATTCACTTTGCTTTTTCGTTTTCCGATGTATTTCATTCGCGTTAATGCTTTCTTTGTGTGATGCCTTTTAAATTTCCTCGGTGCAGAAATCTAACAACAATTCTGTCTCACAAAATATTTTACATTCGCAGTGGGTTTCAGCTAAATTAAATTCTGTTCAATTCTCAGTTGATTGTTTGGTTTGAAGAGTGAATTTAATTCTCCGTAATTCCACAACGAAAACCAAATTTGTATTCGTATAAACGTTTAAATGTTTAAGTAACAAGATTTATGAAGGAATTCTAAATTACTGTTTACACCGCTCTTTTTGTCACCAGTTCTTGTATTTTTTACTCACTACGGAACGGAGAAGGTTATGCCTTTAGGTTTAAAAGTTGTGTGTTTGTTTGTGTGTGCAAACGAATGTTCCCATTTATATCCTATTCCCCCTTGGACGCCAGCAAGTGTGGACGTGTTTTTAGTGAGTGCAATATTCGTGAAATTAAGCATAGTAAAATAATTATTCGTTATAATTAGTACGAGGTACCAGGAAAACAGAAATCACAGTGAGTCTCTTCTTGTTATTACTAAACTACTTTGTTTGTTACGCCATCACTAATTCGCCTAGTCGCAGCTGATCGCCTTTGCACTTAGTAAAAGTGCATACGCAGTGGGCGGAGTCGGGGCGGAACTAACTACCGCCACAGAATAAAAAATAGCTCTTGCGACGGATTGTATTTAAAACAGACTTGCAAATATATTAAGTGTACATACGATCTATTTTCACAATGTTAAAATCGCCACCAAAAATATCGAATAAACGGAAAACACCCTCACGTTTCAATTCTGATATACGCAAATTGTGTTCTGAAGAAGGCTTAGCGCCTGACGAATTTACAGCACACAATGTAAAGCAACGAACAAAACGCCGATATCCATCAGGCGCTGGAGCTCCTGAATTTCTAGAGGAGTTAACCACAATTAAGAGCGATATAACAAACAATATCAAAAGCATGATCAAAGAGTTGTTGTCTGCACAAACTTCAAGGATGGACAAATTAGAAAATTATTTATTAGATATTAAAAACCAAAACTCAAAAATAGAAAATACCAACACCGACATAGAAAAGTCCATGAACTTTATATCTGAACAAATAACTTCGCTGGAGTTTAAAATTACTAACCTGGAACACCACCGTGGCTAACAAACTATCTTCGCTGGAAGAGAAAATGGAGACTCATGATCGCACTGCATAAAGACTTATGTTGAAATTCGCAATTTACCCAAGAGGATCCAAGAGTCGAAGAAAGATCTATATGATATGCTAATAAAATTATCAAAGCTCATAGAAATCGATTTGCTAGTCTCTGATATTCGATATGTGTCAAGGCAATATTCGAAAAAGGAGAACGAAACATCTAATCTGACAGTTGAGTTCTCCAATACTCTTATAAAAAGTAATTTCTTGTCTCTGGTTAAGAATTATAACAAACGTAACTCAATCAATAAGTTGAATTCATCTCATCTGGGTCTAGATGGCCCACTTACTCCTATATATATATCACTGAGCAGCTCACTCCTAGCTCTAAGTCATTGCGTTTTTATATCACGCGAAAATTAGCAAAATCAAACTAGTACGCATATTGCTGGACATCAAATGGGAGAATCCTGCTGAGAAAAGACGACAAATCTCCCTACATTATAGTAAGGAATGAGCAGCATTTAAACCAGTTGTCTACATCGAAAGGAGCATGAGCATTTTGTTTACGTTATATGTTATTAATGTTTTTCCTATATATTTTTATGTTTGCTTACTGTTTAAGTCCCAATAAGTTAACTAATTACTCTCACTTACTTATCTTAATTACTAACATAGATATTAAATATTTACACCCACACAAATTAAACTTACCACATATTTACACACATAACATTGCCATAATATATATATATATATATATATATATATATATATATATATATATATATATATATATAATACCTTGAAATTCGTCCCATATAAATTTGAAAAAAAAATACCCTACGAGTGGGAAAATAGGGGTGATTTATTACAGAGTAGTTCGGTTTTGATAATTCTTTTTTTATTCGATAGGGTATATCTCGAATTGGTCTTATATAAATTTGAAAATAAAGTTTTTATCTTTTATTTTACAACAAATAAAGTTTTTACCCAAGGATGGGAAAATAGAGGTGACTTATTACAGAGTAGTCCAATTTTAACGATTCTGTTTTCGTTGAACAGGGTATACCCCGAAATTGGTCTTATATAAGTTTGTAATTAAGTAAAATGTAACACAAATTCAAGGTTAGGTTGCGAGATAGCGGTGTCAATCATTTTAGCTTCGAACTGAGGGGTTAAGAACGGCTAACTGCGAACGCTAATTTATTGAGGAGAAGTTCTCTTTGTACATGAGCAAAATCCGGTTTTCGGTACTCCTTCGGAAATTCGGATTTCAGAAGGAAGATCGTTCCAAAGAAGAAATATTGAACAAAGAACGATGATTAGATAAAGTTATTGAACAAAGAAAGACGATTGGACAAAGTTAGTACTAAAAGGGGGGGGGGTGGCGCTGAAACAAAAGGTTATTACTAGAACGGAGAACTCTATAATGGTTAGAGCTAAGATATTGAAAATGAGATGTTAAAAAAGATGGAGGATTAGGAGACATCAAGATGTGGGTAACCAGTTAATGATTTCTTATATGGGACCAATAAAGTAAAAGTAGTAAAAGTAGTTTTAATCAATTGGTAGCCAGTTAAGTTAAGAGCTATAAGTAGACAGATGATCATACTATCATAGATAAAAAATGAATCGAACGCAGTTATTAAGATTAAGAAAAGATTGGATTCGGCCTCGCTCGCTCATGTCGATCGGACGTTTGGTAGCGGGAAATAATTTTGTGTCTAACAGCATTATGTCGAAGTGTGAAAAATGCAACAAAAATATTACAAAGGCTCGTCCTGGTGTGGAGTGTCATCGTTGCGAGAAGATGGTGCACCTGAACACAGAATGCTCAGGGCTTACCACCAAACAGAGGAATGCGCTTCGGACAAATGAAAACCTAGATTGGTCGTGATCTGAATGCAAAAACACTTCATCTAGACGAACTTCGATTGTGATACCTGAAAATGATGATGATGAAGCATTTGGATCGCCTATAACCTCAGCATCTGTTCCATTAGATGGTAAAAAATTGATGCTAGAAATATCAACAAAAGTGGAGTGTGCTATTCAACGTCAATTGAGCTAGTTAGCAGAGTTTTTGGAATTCAATTCTAGAAAACTTGATGATATACTCGAAACCGTAGACGCATTTAAAACTACAGTCAAAGAAATAAGAAAGAAGAATATCGAATTATCTAACCAAAATAAAAACTTAGAATATAGAATAAGTGCATTAGAACAGCGTTTACAAGAACAAGAACAGCAACAGCTTATTAAAACTATTGATATTTTTAATATCCCATTCACTGACAACGAGGATCTTTTAAACGTCGTGCAAAAAATACAACAAAAACTTGAATTAGAAGAAAACATTATAGAAGTAAAGCGCTTTGGTTACAATAGAAATAATTCCGGAAAACTACGTGTGGTTCTACCGTCAGAAACTGTTAAAACAAAATGGCTTACAAAAGCAAAGGATACAAAGGTCATGGTGAACGATATCTTACCTAGCGCATCACCGTTGACTGGTAAAGAAACCATCTACATAAGTGAGGCATTAACCATATACATAAAGACCTTACTTGGAAATGCCAGAAGAGAACTTAAAAACAGCGGAGTATACAAATATGTGTGGTGCAAGAATATAGTTATTAGAGCAAGAAAAAGTGAAAAAGATCAATCGTTCATAATTAGAACTGATGATGACATTAAAGCCTTACTACAAAAGGAAGTCCATGTACAGCCGCAATAAATTGTTCTATATAGGTACTTAATTTCAAAAATATATCAAAAAGGTTTTTTTTGTTCTTTATTTTTTTTAACGGACGTACAGTTATACGATATTTGTGAATTGAGTAATTTTACTAACATAAATTCATTTCTAAATCATATTCCTGTTACAAATTGTCAAACTAACCTTCTATGCATGCACATAAATATAAGATCCTTGATTAAAAACTTTGATGCTTTAGAACAATGTGTGTACTCATCTAACGCATGTATAGATATTATATTGGTAACGGAAGCTAATATATCTGACTACCTTAGTGATATGTTTAACCTACCGGACTATAACATGCATACAGTGCTCCGTAAAAACCGAAGGGGTGGCGGTATAATAGCATATACAACAAGAAGAATAAATAAATAAAAAAATAACAAGAATAATAAATTTACAATAATTAGTAACTTATTAACAAAACATTTTGAACATATATTATTTCAAATTTGCACTCCATCTTTTTCCACGGCAACTGTATGTGCAATTTATCGCCCTCCTAATCTAAGCAAACACTTATTCATCGACGAACTTCGCACTTTGATCGGTAGGGCGGACACAAATTCTGAACTATTTATCCTCGGAGATATGAATATAGACTTGCAAACATATACTCCTATAGGAAATAAATACAACTGCATGCTACATTAACTACGGCCTTGAGTGCGGGATATCGCAGTACACTGGAATTGAATTAGTTGACGATAGAATAACTAAATCCTGTATTGATCATGTGTACGCGAGATCACGCAAACAAGATGTTTACACCGCGGCGCTTGGTGTAGTGCTAGCGGACCACCGAGCGGTAGTGCTTGCCTGTGTGGAACAAACACATGCGCGTATACAGGATGAAACTACTTATAAAAATATATATAACAATGAAAAATTAAAACTGTTATTGAATAATATTAACTGGAAGAAAGTTGATGATATGGTATGTCCAGATACTATATTACAGTATATATATATAAAAATATAAATAAATGCTACAACGACGCGAAAATTACATCAAAAATTAAAAACACCGGTAACAAACATACCGAAAATAAATGGATAACTTCACGTATTATCAAAGCTTGCGAGTATAGAGATAAACTATTTTACCAATGGATAAAGGATAATAATAATAAAATTTTAAAAACACAATATAATAAAGCGCGAAACTATGCAAATAAATTAATTAGATCCTGCAAAAATAAATACATTTATAATGAAATACATAAATATAAAGATAATTTAAAACAACTCTGGTTTATTCTTAACAGAATAACAGGTAGAGTGCGTAAGACAGTGGATACAGTACTCTTAAATGCGTTTGGGGGCACAAACAAAAATAAAAATATAATTGCAAATAACTTTGCGAATAAATTTCATAGTGGCGTTCAAAACATAATACCTCTATGTAAAAATAATATTTTAGATAAAATAGAATACCGACAACCAGTTAACGTAACAATGAATTTTCAAAAAGCGACACCTAAAGAGATCCTTAAAATTATAAAAACAATAAACGTTAACAAAGCTCCGGGTCTTGACAGAATTCGGGCGATAGACATAAAACGAATTTGCGAAGAAATTGCTCCGGCTATTGCAAAACTGGTAAATGTCTGCATAAAGACTAATAAATATCCTGACGAATTGAAAAACTGGAATTGTGAGACCTATATACAAAAAGGGAATCAAACAGGATTATGATAATTACCATCCTATAACTATATCACCCACGATAGATAAGATTATAGAAAAATAAATAGCTAGACAAATTTACAACTTTTACGGGCTAAATAACATTCTTAATGACACACAGTTTGGGTTTCAACCTAAAAAAAAGCACAACGCAACTACTTACACTATTTACTAATAACGTATATGAAAATCTTAATGAGAGAAAACATGTATTGCTGTTATTTATCGACTATAGCAGGGCATTCGATACTTTACGCCATGATGTATTACTAGAGCGACTAGATGACTGTGGAATTAGAGGGCCGATTCTTGCCTGGTATCAGGACTATCTCAAAAATCGTTGTTACTATGTCAAGGTATGGGATACCTTAAGTAATAAAGTTTTGGTGAGTGAAGGAACAGCACAGGGTTCTGTATTAGGACCGCTACACTACATCACTTACGTGAATAATAACAATGTGGTTAACAACTGTAAAATCTTCCAATTTGCTGACGATACCTGTCTGTTAGCAGCCCACCACAATATGGATAAGGCGGTAAAACTGTTACAGGATGATTTTACGAGGCTCATGCAATGGTCACATGACGCAGGTCTTGTACTTAATTCGAATAAGACTAAAATAATGTACGTGAGCTCGAGTAAAAATAGATTAAAACATGACATTAATCTTATAGCTCATAATCATACATGTCTTCATAATATCTAAAGTTCAACCCGTAATAATAATTGTGAATGTCCCCAGATTGAAGTGGTAGAAAAATGTAGATATTTAGGTTTAATAATCGATGACCGTATGAAATGGACTTATCACATTGAATCTGTATGTGATAAGCTACGAGCGATCTTAGCAAAATTTTACCTCATCAAGAGTAAAGTACCATACCACATGCTAATGTTACTGTATAAAGCACTCGGCGAATCAATAGTTTCTTATGGGTTAAGCAGTTATGGACGCACGTATAAAACCCACCTTGAAAAAATATACGAGCTACAATTGCGCATTCTTAAATGTATCATTCCTCTCAAAATCAAAGATAAATTAAAAAAAAATCCCTATGGTCTCTTTCATCATTGCAATATTCTACCAGTACACGACAACGTGAAATACCAACTACTGCTTGAAAATTATAGCAAGGAAGAATTAAAAATTAGCCGTATCTATACAAAGCTTACACGACAAGCCCCTAATCCATATATGACGATACCAAAATATAAAAATATGTATGGAAAATTTAGGTTACAATATCAAGTTCCCGCTCTTTTGAAGCAAATTCCAAAAGCAATAAAAAATGAAATAACTAAGAAAAATATTAAATATAAGCTCAAACAGTATTTTATAGGCAAATTGATAACGACACCTACTAATAATTTATACTAAAAAAACTATACTAACACACATAATATACATAAATACAAATCTACTAATAAATATATACATAGATACACACACTCGTAACATTAATATCTCGATTACTAATATTATTTATCAACCTCACTAACTGTCCTTTCCTGTGGTACACATATAGTTAAAAAAAATATTGTCAAAATATTGTCACACCATGTATTATGTAAGTTGTCGCTACGCGAACCGATTGAACATGGTCGAAGTTACGAATCGGCGGTACATGGAAAAACTTTTGTAAGTTTATTTGTACTGTCGGATGTTATTTAATAACTATATTTTGTAAAAAAAAAAAGAAAACGGTCATATTTGTTCAGAGTTCTGCATTCAGGTAAAAATAACACACATCAGCATAGTCAAAAATGGGAAGAATTAAGGTCTGCACGATAATCGTCTTAGTCCTGGACGGGAAAAGTTCTTCAGACGGTAGAGAGAACGCAAAATACCTGTGACTTTCTGACAAATATTTGCCACTTGGAATTGCTAGCTAAAGGTGGAGTCAATGTGTAAGCTAAGGTCTATTTCGTTATTACTCAGTCCTAAAATAAAACCGTTAAAAATGATCGGAGGTAAAGCTGAGGGATCCAGTTTCTTTATTATCCGTTGGCTACCAATTATTATAGCCTCACATTTGTATGGATTGTTAAATTTAAGGTCAAACTTGTCACACCAGTTCTTTATATACACTAGGTACCTATTAATACAATCAATTGCTGTAGGTATACAGTCAACCTTAGCGTGTGAGTACAACTGCAAGTCATCAGTATACAAATGATACGCACACAGAAGATTTGGATAATAAGATTTATAAATATTGAAAATAACAACGGATATAGAACACCGCCTTGAGGAATACCAGCATGCAAGTCACACCAACTTGATGAAGACAAACTGACTGCTAGTGACCTCGAATATAAAATAAGAACCACTCCAAAGCCATGAGCCAAGAAATGAGATCATAGAAAGTGAAAGGATAATAAGATGTCGTTACTGATGGAATTAAAGGCTTTGGAGAAGTCAATCAAAATAAGCACTGTGACTTTAGATTATATTGTTACGAGCTTGAGGTTTGTGACAATAAAAATTGCCGATAGAATTACCAAAATTAATTCTTTAATTCACTACACTAATTAAAACTTAGAAGACACTAATAATAATCACACTGATTCACTAAAGTTCGACAAGCGAAGCGAAGGAAATTGAATCGCCAAATTCAATACTTCCTCAAATGCATCTTGCAGCGCCTTTAAATACACATTATCACCACCGAAACATCCAGAATATTCAAGTAAATACGCGCGCCAATTGACTAGGCGCCGAAATTTCGAGTGTCGGACTTCTAGAAATCTTAGTTCTTCATTTCGATACTAGATGGCGCTGTCAGTTGAAAGATTAGTGATGTCATTTTCTGGAAAGCTCTCCTCGCTCCATTACCCGACACAGATGGCGCTAGTGCCAGACGTCAACTTAGGCGCGCAACACTACCCCCTCCTAAGACATGCTCGTCCCGAGCATTATCGGCCCCATAATAACGCGCCAGGCGATCCACATGGACGATCTTAGGCTGTCCTATCCCATGGTACACCAACATTGTACAATTTTGCTGCTTCTCTACAACGTGTCTGAGGTCCCCTCACAGCCGCACAACTTGTACATGTACGACACCAATCCTCGACATCGTCACGATAATGGACCCAGTAAAACTGTTCTCGGAACTTCAGTAGAGTTCGTTTAACTCACAGATGGACTCTTGAACGATCATTATGGCACAGCTGTAGAACATTCGGCACTTTAGCTTTAGGGACAACCATTTGCTAACGACAGCTGTCTCCTCGACCATTGTCCCTTTTACGGCACAGGACTTCATCTTGAATCAGCAAGCTT